TCCTTGATTAGTAATTAATTACAAACTTTTAAATAAGGTATTGCACCTACTTCCCTACATCTCTTGTATTCCACCCACTTCCCTCTCTTGTCTCTTTCTTGCACCCTCTTTAAACTCATTCTCTCTTGTAATTATAGCCTTCACTTTTTGTCTTCTACACCCCATCTGTAAGTCTTATACAACTTTGCTTTATAAATAAAAGCTTTCATTGATATTTGCACGATCCTTTCTATTTTAAGCTGTAGTGAGTCGTCTTTTAATTCTACTACAATAATGTCATAATGATTGTTGCTATAATAATTCCGCTACAGTGATCTTCTTCCTCTTTCCTACTCTTGTTGTCAACGATTTACGAGGAACACAAACAGTCTCACTCCTATCTCTCAGACACTGTCTAACATCCTACACGCAGCTTGGGTGTAGAACCATAGGAACAAAAGAAAACCATTATAGTGAAGCATATAGGTCAATAGAAAATTTTGTGACAAACAAATATGGCCTTAAGCCTGTTTAAATTTAATAATAAACATAAAAATGATTATGTTAAAAATATGGAAAAAATTGAATTCTCAAATATTGAAAATAAATTACAGAACTGAGATATACCTCAGTACCCAACTAATAAGATATATAATATTGGAACTTTTGATTTTAAATCAAGTCTAACAATTAACATGTTAGAACGAACAATTTCCTATGATCAAAATGAGGATACTTTACAACTATTAACAGAAAGAGAAGTCTGAAAGACTCAAGATAATTATAAATTCCTACATATTGGATTAGTCCAGGTGGCTTGAAAACCATTAACTCTTCAAGGATTAAATGTCTCTTTTATGCTAGCCTTAGGAGATACTAGATATCTAGATTTTGATTAATCGTTAATGGCAGTGATGCAATCTAGCATAAGTAACAGTCCATTTTGTTTTTCAAATATATCAGTATCCTTAATGGATAGAAATATATTAGATGTTTTAACTTGTAATATTTAAACTTATGGTTACAATTTTAAAGATAGAATAGACATAATGAGTTTTACTTATAGGATATATTATAAAATAATGAATATTCTATGTCTAGAAGCTATGTTTCATAACCTTAAACGTAAAACAACTTTAATTGATCTGCATATAAATCAACAGAATAAATTTAACCTGCCATTACTTGGCTCTGATACCAATATAGAGAGGATCGTGTAAATATCATTGAAAGCTTTTATTTATAAAGCAAAGTTGTACAAGACTTACAGATGTGGGATGGAGAAGACAAAAAGTGAAGGCTATAATTACAAGAGAGAATGGGTTCAAAAAGGGTGCAAGAAGGAGACAAGAGAGGAAAGTGGGTGGAATACAAGAGAAAATATTTATTACAATGGTGATATCACGTTAAAATGTGATGTGGTATCACCAACTAATAATACTCAAATAAATAAACAAATAGATTCCACAAAAATTAATAATTAATCTGTAATGTAAGCAAATAACTTCTCGCCCTTCTGCCATGTAAACCCAAGTGGGGTTCATCTTTCTCATTTGTGATTTTATTATTAGTTAGTGATATCATATCATCAATGATAACATGGTATCACCGCTACATTTAATATTACTCCTATGTAATAAAGGACAAAAATTTTGAATACTCCTATGTAATAGTGTATCTTGAATTTTTTTGTTATTCAAATCGTTTATAGACTTTGATCCAACAACCAAAACTTCACCTCCAAAATATTTTCCCCTCATCAATTTCAACATGACTATCATTCCAAGACTCTAGGGCACGTTTTGTTGACAATAATCTTAATTGAAAATGAGTATCTCATTCTTAATAATGAGTTATCCGATTTTCAATTATCTTAATAATCACATATTTAGTGTTTGATTATTATTAGTAATCTGATATGAAAATTAATGTCATTATTAAATTGTTTTAGGAGATAACTTAATTTTAAAAAGAAAATTGATTTTAGGATGTAGAAATGAGATTATCACCATTGACCATGGTTTTAGGATACCCACTATTATTGAGAATTGAGTTATGTTAATAATCTTATTCCCTAATAAGATTACTAAATAATTGACTATCCAAAGAATAAGCATCTCATTCTTAATCAAGATTACCGTAATCTAGAAGGCATAATAATTCCAACAATTTCAAGAGCCTATAATTCTATGACTGTAATCAACTTGAAATACGTCTCACTCTATCTATACATCTCTCATTCTCTCTCTCCCCGACTCTACATTACACCCGAAATACATCTCTCTCATACGTATTCGTCTCTCTCTCAGTTGCCACGGCGCCACCACCATAGCAACATCCTAGTATGCAGTCTCTCTCTCTGTCTACCGGTTGCCACTGGGACACCGCTACTCACCCCCAAATCAGCAACCCCATCCATCGCCCACCGCCTATATGCACAGCCACCACCACACACGACTCCCTCTCGTACCCTTTGTCCCAACCCCCTGCAACCTCTCACCCATACTCACACACACAAAAGTCGACACTCTGAGTCATGTCTTGTTTTTGTGCTATTACACCGTCTGACACCAAGCCACCACAACACAACCCCATTTCCTTCACCCCGCTGAAACTGTTGTTTCAATACTGAAATCTAAGTTTTACATGAAATTCTAAGCTTCACTTCCCATTGCCACAAACACTGCCCCCGTCGCCTCCATCCCTCTCTCTGATTCTTTTATGGGTTTCGTATGTATGATTTTCATACTGTTTGTTGGTTTGCCTCTGAAAAAAAATACAAGCTCAATTTTTAACTTTGACAAGCATAGCCTATGAGTTTTAAAATTGAGTTTTTAATTTTGCTATCAAGAAAATATGTGAATTTCTTTTTTAAAAAATTATTCATCTCTCAGTGCCAACCCCCATCTAATGGATTCCAGTAATTTTACGGTATATGATGAATTGGGTTCTTGATGTAGCAGTAATTTTTTTTTTTTTTTGCTGACATTGGAATTCTGTTTGTTTGTATTAAAGTCATTTAAATGGCTTTATGATGTTAAGTTGGAAATTTGGTTGAACAAATATGTTTTTTTGGTATGGTTACTTTGCATGATAAAGATAATGAAGGTTAGGAGTTTTTTGTTATTCTTTTATACCTAATGGGCTCAACGTATTATGAGAGGATTGAATATTGAATTGTACTATTTTTTATTGAATTGGGCTTAATACTTTATTTGGTAAACAAATTTAATATCGTATTAATTTTAAAAACGTATATTAATCGTATGTTTATCGTATATTATTTATACGATTGACTTGTATTATGAAAATATTTTAATATCACCAAGAGATGTGGTATTATAATTCAACTCAAACATATTATTCTACACAATTACTATTATAAAAAATCAAGTTGTCATCAATGTAATAAACACTGATTGAAGGTATTTTTATTAATTCAACATTAATACGATGAAATAATTCTCTAACCAAGCAACCGTTTGGATTAAATAACTATTATCTAGCGTTTATGTTGTGTATTATCAAACACTAGATAAAATTATGTATTATTCTAATACCCTATTTAATCTTATATTTTACCCTGTTGTATTGTATTAGACTGAATTATTTTATATAATTCATCCATTTTGAATACGGCAACCAAATGATCCCAATGTGTCTCCTTTGCAGTGGTATTATCATTATCTCTCTCAATTACATATATAGAATAATAAGCATGAATTTTATTCAGCTGTTTTTTTATGTGACTCGAATGGATTCTTTTTGTTTACATTCAATCTTTTTGTGATCTTTGTTAGGGACAAACCCACCGGCAAATTGCATTTTTAATTATGCAATGATACTATTTCAATGCAATTCGGCATTTTAGTTTTGACTGTTGTAATGCACGTGGTATTGGGAATCAAATTTGCACGATATTGCTTGGAGATTTGTTTATTTTTTGTTTGGAATTGATGGATGGTAAGCTATGATTTGGTGTAATAGAGTGTTACTATGACAGTGTCAATACTTGGTTGTTAAGAAATTGAAACAAATAGATGAATTTGACATTCAATTGTTGGTTTTTCATGCTTTTTGTATTGTGGGTTCATTTCTGCTTTTGTATAAGGCTTTGGTAGATTGTCTATCGTTGCTGCGCACTATGTAGGGACAAATGAACTCACTTCTGTCAATTAGTATGAATGTAGCATTGAAAACTATGTTCCTAGTTCCTAAAATCATGGTTGTGAGATATACTTGTGTTTCAGTTGTTGATCTTTTCAATTTTTTGTTCTCATTTTCATTCTTGCATCGCAATGTGATACTTATATGCGGGTAGAACTAATTAGATAGAACAAGATAGAGTGGGGGTGGAGAAACGTTTGGTACTTACAATAACATTTGCGGACCTTTAGCTTCAATGAACCATATCCATTGTTTTGTTTCTTTATGTTACAAACTAAAGTATTTATACAATTGTTGCTACTGTAATCGGATAAGCAATGCCCATGAATCCCGTTTTAGTTCCAAATAGACTATTTTGTCCTCGTTCACTTAGCAACTTGAATTTTTTTTGTTTTATAAAGTGCCTTCACGTATGAACAATCTCTAGTATATATATATACTAGTCATAACCCGTGCCTAAAGGCACGATAAAATATAAAATTTGAGCGTCTAAAAAATCGATTCCACTATATTAAATTTTTTCAAAATATATTAACTACAAATTAATTAAATAATTAAATATATGATAGAAATGAATGATGTGATATTTTTATGAAAGAAATATACAGATGATTAAATATGTGATATAAATGAGTGTTGTGATTTGACGTTTGAGTCTGAAAAAGGGATGAGAGGTGAAGTAAGTGATCGGTGATAATTTCAAAAAAGGGATGATAGGTGAAGTAAGTGATTGGTGATAATTTTGAGATGAAAAATATGACTGCAATAAAATTCAAATATAATTCTATTTTATTATACAGATATACGCACTCCATTAGTTTCTCTTACTTTTCTTTGTTTTTGCTAGATCATCAATGGCGGACGGTACGATTAATGAAAGTGATTTCTCTGAGCAACATAAGATTGAAAACGACGAGGAAACCGAGAAGCCGAATGCTGCCATCGAACACTTTGACAGCAATCAAGAAGCCGTCAAGACGAAGCTGAATGAGTTGCTAAGAGAGATCGATGACGATCTTGAAGTTGAAGAAACTGGACAGAAAATGTACGAAGTGATGAATGATAGCGAAATGGAAGATGATGTACAGAAGCATTTGAATCAGTGTTGGCTTGATCATCACTTGTATCTGTTGCAATTGTCATCCGATGGTAGCGATCTTGATCTTGGAAACTCTGAGAATGACGAGGATTTGAAGATAAAGAAACAGTCCGATCAAGAAAATCAGGGTCTCTCTCTCTCTCTCCCTGCATGTGTCTAACTACATGAATACATTCGTGTGAGTGTCTTTCTGATCATTGATTTTTCTGTATATAGATCAGAAGCAGAAAATGGCGTTGAATCAAGAATCTGTGGCCTTGAAATTCATATTAGATGAGCTTGAGACTGAGATCCCTAGCCTGCAAGTTCATCTTGCCCGGTTGACACAACGAAAGGAAGAACTCGTGGAAATGTTTCAGCAGTTGGAATTTGAACTTGAAAAGCAAAAACAGAGGAATTCTGATATGAAAATGGTGGAACCAGCTGATCATGAACTGAGAGACAAAATTAAGTCAGTGTTGGAAAGTCAACCGAAGAAACCCAAAACGAAAATGGAATCAACACTGAATCAAATTTTGGGTAAAGCGAAGGATTCGAGAAGATGTCTGAGGATCTGGAAATGCTGGGATGCAGAGATGACCTTGAAGTGAGTTTGCAGCTGTAGATGCTCTGTTTTGCTTGTTATAGGATGCATTACTCTATTGATTCTCTTAATTGCTTTGACAATTGTTTTGGATAGTTGTTCTTTGATTATAGATTTGTTAGTTGCTATCTGAATGTCTTGGAAGTCTAGATATATAGTTAAGAGCAATGAATGGTTGGGACAGAAAAAATCTTTATAATTCTTTAATACAATTTGAACGATAAAAAAATAAGTTTGATAAACTTGATGTAATATTTAATTTAGGCACACATGCCTTAATATTTTTTATTAATTTTTTATGTACGAAAATTATTTATGTGCGCATTGCTAGTTTAGTTAAATAGTATACAAAGAATATGATCAAATTATACTCTTATTAATATCATTTGTATGAATTAGACGAGAACCAATTACTCAATCTCATCTTTTATTTGTACCCGAACCAAACATACCCTTCTTATTTCTGATGACTATTAGATTAGCATGGTGTCTTAATATTGAATAGGATGTAAATCTAGTCTAATGGCAGTTGTAAGTTAAGTTAATAAATTAAAATCAAAATAACACTAGAATAAAATAAGAATATATCCCGTTCAAAGTATAAAATGCACTATCAAAATTTTGTTTGGCGTAAAATATATTTTTGGTCCTCAAATTATGTATTTTTGTTTCAGTTTAGTCTCTAATTTTTTAATTTTATCAATTTGGGCTCTCAACTTTTCAATTTATATCATTTTTGTCCAATTGAAAACGGCAGTTGGAATTTAATGACTCGGGATCGTCACATGATCTCACTTGAAACGTGTTCTTTGGAAACTTTAAGGACTAAGTAATACAAACTATAAACTTAATTGATTAAAATGATGCAAGTTACAAATTTGATGGACCAAAGTGACCCCTCCTCAAGTATGATCACGTGAACATTTTCATTAGTTAATTCCAAACTGATGTTTTCAATTGGATCTACTTAAATAACTATCGATCAATTTTACCCTTTTGTTTGATTGTATAAAGATAAGGAAGAAGGATTCAAAGAAATGATCCCGCTGTCAAAAGTGACACTTAAGCATTGAACTAAAATCACCTTGTGAATTGATCTAATTCTCTCTCTCTCTCTCTCTTGTTGCGATTTCTCTTGATAGTAAGTATTTGTACATCTGTAAGAATGAAAGACTTATTCATAAATAAGGAGTCTCATGTAAATTTTTGATAAATAACTTATTATTAAGAGATATTTTTAAAAAAATTAGAAAATATGTTAATCCATTTGAATAACCAAAAAAGTTTTGGTTATTTATTGTTCTATGTGTATCTGGCACATACTCAAAGTCAAGTTACAATATTATGGCCGATCAAATTTTAATTTAGACTTTAAAATAATATTTTTTTGTGATCAACCATAACATTCCAGTATTAATCAAAACCTCATATATTATAAACTAAAAAAATATTGTAACTTCTAAGTATGATACCTCGTTCTCATTACAAGAAGCAGGTCATTCTTTGATCTCAATTTGACCATCTCTTAGGTTGGTTTGGCCACCTCTAGGCCTAGCTCAGCTATCTTTATAAAATCACTGTAGAGAAAAAACCCGAAAGAGAGCATAGATCCTCAACGAAGTTGACGAGCCCAGATTCAATTGGGTTGGGTTCAATAAATCAAATAAGTTTAAATCAACTAACAGGCAAGTCAATTCTAGTTCGAGAATCCGACCCAGCCTATTATCCAAAAAATTCAAGAAGATTAAAGCATGTGGGGAGTAATCATCGGGGTACGCACTCGCAAAGATCAAAGCAACATTTTAAGGCACTTACCTTTTGTAGCAATCCGGAGAATTAGTATTTTTGCTACCTTTTGTAGCAATCCGGAGAATTAGTATTTTTGTCTTCACGTCACCGTCTTTAACCAAGATTTTGTGCTTATAAATTGTAAGTTCTCTCTATATGAAAGGGAACCTCTTGAGATATCACTACATCCCTCTGCACACCCCTCCTTTAATTTTTCTCTCTCCTAGTTATTGTATATCTCCCTGTGCTACCCTTTGATCTGTCACGTTCTGACTTTACTTTATTACTTTATTAATAAAGGTTCTCTGACAACAGTTATTGTTTTTCAATGTTGAGTAAATCACTCTGATCAAACTACTATATACTTGTCTGTTAACCCAATATTTACTTTTTGTCATTGATTGATTTATTAATTGTTTCATTAATTCTCTTGCATCATTCACTCGACTTTTAATTTTGCATAAGTCTATTTTGTGCATCATCATCAGAAGTGTAGCAAAAGATGACAGCTATGATGAAGGTCAGCAATTACAATATCTTTTTCCTATCTTTTTTCCAGTTGGATTAAATTACATTTGAAACAACATGACCGAAAGAACAAAGGAACAATAAGCTTGGCATGGACACTTCTAAGCCCGCTCAAGGTTCTTCTCTAAGTGAACTATTCCACATCCGTCATTACATCAATTTGTGCTTCAACAACCAAAGTATCGTGTACTATGAAACCCTTTGACCTGTCATGGAGATCTACCAGCGAGACAAGATTAGGAAAACCCCAATTGTAGTTCGGTGCACTCAACCAACAATGAGCTGTGGGAAAAATGACAAGGACAGTTTTTTAGACAAATTAATCAAACTAACATACTCTATAAGATGGGCCAAGTTAATGCTCATGTTTTTAAACAGAACATATTTGTTGGATCAGCGGTCCCATCGAAAAAAGCCAAACGGGACAGAAAGACATTCTCCTCTGCCGGTAGATTTAATAACATAAACCTCGACCCCAAATGCACAGGAGTCATCAACAAGGTACCCATTTGAAGCATCATTGAAAGTATCAAGGGAAAGTAATTTGGCAAAACCCCATTCAGTCTTCAACTTGTTGAATCGGCTTACTCTCCCATTAGCATCTGCATAATTTAGCAAACTTGGAATATAATCTTAAATATTTTTTTATATGTAGAAGAAATATAAATTACAAGAAATGCTATACCTTGGATTGTCAGGTACTTGTCTCATATTCAGTAATCTAACTCGCAAATAAGATTTCTACCATAATCCAATTCCCAATAATGATGATTTTTCACCAAATGAAGTGGTTCAAGCTCTAAAGCAGTTCCATCCGAATAAATCACCAGGTCCAGATGGTATTGGCCAATCTTTTTTCAGAAGTTCTGGCCTGTAGTTAGTAATGCCGTTTCAAGGGTTGTACCGGACTTCCTCAATTCAGACACTTCGTGTGGTAGACTCAACTATACTCATATTGTGATGGTGCCAAAAGTTCAAAATCCAGAGAATATGACACACTTCCGTCCAATTAGTTTACGCAATGTGGTGTATAAACTAATAGCTAAAGTCCTAGCTAACAGACTGAAGAAGATCCTCCCAAGAATAATATCAGAGTATGAGAGTGCATTTGTTCCAGTCTGGCTGATTACGGACAATGTCCTGGTCGCGTATGAGCTTAACCACCATCAAAAGCAAAAGAAGAAGGGGCGTACGGCATATATGTCTCTGAAGCTGGATATGAGTAAGGTATATGACAGGCTTGAGTGAAACTTTTTGGAATCAATGATGAGAAGGTTGGGTTTTAATGAGAGATGGGTGAGACTGATTATGCGGTGCGTTTGGACATTTTCCTCCTCCTTAATAAGAAATGGGGAACAAATGGGTTTCTTTAGACCGCAATGAGAATTGAGACAGGACGACCCCATTTCACTATATCTGTTCTTGTTGTGTTTTGAGGGTCTCTCGGCACTTCTAAAGGCGGGGGAAACAAGTGGAAGTATTCAAAGAATGTCTGCTGGCAGAGGGGGGCCTATCTTGTGTCATTTATTCTTTGCCAACGATAATCTTCTCTTTGCTAAAGCTACAAAAGGGAACTGTGAGGCTATTAAGGAATGCCTTCGGACATATGAAATGACTTCAAGGCAAGTAATTAATTTCTCAAAATCAGCTGTAGTTTTAAGCAAAACCATTCTGCCAACGCAGTGCAAACTGTCTAGACTCTAGACGACGACTGTGTGTGGAGAATTATTGCTTCCTTTGTGGGATTGCTCAAGAATCAATCACTCACATGTTCTTGAATTGTCTTTTTACGAAGCAGGTCTGGTTAGAGTCATCCATCAAACTGGCAGAATACCCAGCTGCTACATTCCAGCAATGGCTAGAGTTTCTCTCAGGACGTTTGTCTCCAATGGAGGTTAATTTGGTTATGATACCTCAAACAAGCCCTAGTTGTGAGCTCAGGTCAGGAGGTCAGGAAAGACACAAAGAACTCAGAGAACCAGGGCTGGAGCTCCCATTGGGGAGATCGTAACTGAACCGACCAGGAAACAATTGAATGACTGCGAAAATTGGGCGCCATGCATGAAACTCTCAACCAACCAAGATTCTCTCCTAAAATTAAGGAAGATCCCATAAATAATGTCCAAAGATCCCAATCGAAATTCCACGGAATAGGGGGCAGCCTTATAAATACTATGTAATGCCTCATCGAGAGGTAGGAAAAAAGAGAAGAACCCTAATCGGATTGTGGAATGTCTTCTATTACATTCAAATAATCAATAGAGAAGAAAAGGAGCAAGAGTCTCCATGTGAGAATGGATTAGCCGAGCTCTAGAACCAGTAAACCACTATATTCTAACTGTGCAAATTCCCCTATCCCCTAAAAAATACTTCATCACTGTCATTACGAAATTGACAGCCTAACTTCAGCATTAGTTCCACGCACTCTATTCACTCACATCAGTTTGGCACCATCAGTCTTAGTTATTTGTTGGTCCATCTAGTACAATAGAAACAAAGCTCGTTTAGAGCAAGAGGTCCAGTTTCCTTGTCAAATGATAGACTTCTCGAATCTTATTTGAAACAATACACAGAGGCCCAAGAACGTAGGAGCCTAAAAGGGAAATTTCTCCTACATCTTAGGTAATATCTTTGTGGTCTCCCCCCCCCCCCCCCGGTGGGGTACTGTCAAGATTAACTTCAATGGAGTTG